ACTCACCTCAGCCTCCCAAAGGCGCGGGATTGCAGGCTGAGCCACCGAGCCCGGCTTACAATAAATTTTTTTTTTAATTAGCTAGACGTGGTGGCACATGCCTGTAGTTCCAGTTACTTGGAAGGCTGAGGGGAAAGGACCACCTGAGCCCAGCAGGTTGAGGCTGCAGTGGCTGTGATCATGCCACTGCAGTCCTGCCTGGGTGACAGAGTGAGACTGACTCAATAAATAAAGGGTACATATTCATTCACAACCTAACACCTCTCTCCTCCTCCACTGCCTGCACCTTGCAGCAGCCACTGTCACTTCCTGCCTGGACAACTGTGGTCAACCCTCACTGGGTCCCCTGCTTCTCCTTCCACCCCCAAGTCTGTGCCCCACATAGCCAGAAGCACCCCAGTATCACACCCTCCTCTGCTCAAAGACAAAGCCCAAGTCCTCTGCACAGCCCTCAAGCCCCGCGAGCTCCAGATCTCGCCAGCACCCCTTGTGGAGTACTCCCCACCCCAGCCACTGCCACACGGGCCTCCTCGCTGGTCCCTTCTAGGGCCATGCTGTTCCCTGTATCTTGACTTCAAGCGGCCACCTTACTTTTCTCACTGCTAGATCCCAGGCTCCTGGTATACATGTGCCACAGAGACCAAAAGAGAATGACTGGGGTCGGACTTCCTTCACAGGCAGTTTTTCTTCCTTTGTTATGGAGAAATCACACCAATTGCTCCCTAAGCTGTTACCAGGATGCAACAGGTTCCTGCATGGCAGGTCCTGGCACATACTAGATTCTCTGTAATACAAATAGTTACTGCTAGTATTGTATCACTGTGTGATTTAGGGTAGATGGCTTACCTGCCCTGTGCCTCTGTTCCTGCATCTGTAAAACGGAGCCCTACCTCACAGGGTTGGCATGGGATCTAAACGACCCAACCAGTCTACAATGTTTAGCACATATCTGGAACATATTTGGGCGCTATGTGGCAGGCACAGTGGCTCACACCTGTAATCCCAGCACTTGGGGAGACCAAGGTGGGAGGATCAGTTGAGGCCAGGAGTTTGAAACCAGCATGTTTGACAAGGCCCCGCCTCTACAAAAAAAAATTTTGAAACTCAGCCTGCTGTAATGGCAGGTCTATAGCCCCAGGTCCTTGGGAGGCTGAGGCGGGAGAATGGCTTGAGTCCAGGAGGTCAAGGCTACAGTGAGCTATGATGGTGCCACTGCACTCCAGCCTGGGCAACAGAGCAAGACCCTGCTTCAAAAAAAAAAAAAAACCCTCTGCTATGATGCTGAATGCATACAGAGGAACACTAGGGGCAGGAGGACAGAGGGAGACCCAGGTTTTGGGCAGCTGTACCCTCCCCATGGTTCCGTTTCTTCCTCTCTAAAGCCCAGTGAGGATTCACTGAGGTGACTGGCAAGTGTTGGGTGCCTAGCACACTGGGGCCAGGTAGAGAGAGAAGTTGATGACAATTGTCCTTCCTCCTATTAGGCTCTTCCCAACATCTCAGCTGTGAGCTTCTTGCAAGACAGGACCCTGAGAAGCATGGGCCAAGGATGCCAACCAGGGTTTCTCCAGGTGGGTCCTGATGACCTTGAGGCTGGATGATCCCGTGGTGGGGGCTGCCCAGTGCATCGGTATTGGGTTTGAGTGGCATCCCTGGCCTCTACCTACTAGATGCCAGTAGTCTCCCCCCAAGCAGTGGTGACAACCAAAAATGTCTCCATTGGTGAATTGGATGGTATGTGAGGTAGGTGAATTATATCTCAATAAAGTTATTTTATTGAGCTGGAGTCTCACTCTGTCACCCAGGCTGGAGTGCAGTGGCACACTCACGGCCACCGCAGCCTCGACCTGCTGGGCTCTGGCGATCCTTGCGCCTCAGCATTCCAAGTAGCTGGAACTACAGATGCACGCCACCACAGCCAGCTAGTTTGTTGTGGTTTTTTTTCGCAATTTATTGTAGAGACGAGGTCTCACCAAGCTGCCCAGGGTGGTCTCGATCTCCTGGGCTCAGGCAATCCTCTCCCCTTGGCCTCCCAAAGTGCTGGGATTACCGGCTAAGC